ATCTATCTATCTATCTATCTATCTATCTATCTATCTAACAATCTATCTATCTATCTATCTACAAATAAAGAAAAGGTTTGAAAATATACATGATTCTTATAGTGTACAGTGACTTCCTTATATTCCAGGTTCGTTGCTCAGAGTTTATGGATTTTGCTGAGGTGGAGAATCTTCATGATTTCTACAGCTGTGAGGAGCGTGTGGTCCACACTCAGGACCAGAGAGGGTTCTACATCATGTATGACGCCGCCCTGAAGGACCTGGACGAGCTGGAGAATGAGCTTCTTCTCATTGGCTCTCACTATATCAAGAGATACATGACGGAGAAAATGAGAAAAGCTGAGGGAGCCTCAGCCTCCAACTGGACGGCTGACGTCCACTCCTGGGCCGGGACAGATGTGGACCGAGTTGCAGTGCTGCTCGACTTGTGGACGTGTGAGACAGAGTTTTTAGAGAGTAAAGTGCAGGTAGAGTGGTGAATACAATATTCTCACGTCTCTTGATTTTCTGTCCTCTCTTTACTAACTGTACTTCTGATGCACCAATACATTTTACAAGACCAAATTTAAGATTAAATGAAAGTATCGGATGAGAATTTCAATGAATTCATGTCTTTCTTTCTTCCCTAAATGCTGTTTCTTCTTCTTCTCTCCTCCAGCTCCTAAACTGTTACTGTGAAGCCTACCAGCACGCAGCAGGGACGGAGGAGAGGTTTGCTCTGGCCCGAGTCGTCACTGACATCATGCACAGTCGACCACAGCTGGACCTGAACCAGGATCACTTTGTTCAGGCCTACAGGGCCGAGACAGACTGCCTGAGAAGTCACCAGCAGCTCATCAAAAAAGTCCTGGATTATCAGGTGAAAACAGAAAGTCTGCAGAGGCATCAAGTTATGTTCACGTGTAGGAAGATTAAAGGTGGATTCACATGTATGAATGTCATCGTTTATTATTAGTTATTACCTCCACCAAGGTTTTGTTTCTGTTAGTTAGTCAGCAGGATTATGCAAAAACTATTCTACTGAATTATTTGGAATTTTGTGGAGGGCTGGGGTGTGACCCAAAGAAGAGTCTGTTCAATGTTGTCATTGTGAGATAAATCATTTTCTAACATTCTTATTGATTAAATAATTAATGGAACTTGATTAAAAAAATAAATAAATCTGTGAATGTGCAATTTGCTGCAGTTTGAATTCACATCCATTCTTTGGATCTAATAACTGGACGAATGCATTTTTAAAAATGAGACTCTGTAAAAGCTGCAGCTCGTATACTTCAGCCACATTTCTTCTTGGATATTAATGCACCTCGGTTTTATCTTGTGTTGCACTTTGATTCAGTTTAATCTTCGTGACAGATTGTGTTGTTCACCTCATCAGATTGAAAATCAGCGGCAGTACCTCCAGCGCATCTGGAGAGACGATCGTAAAGGCTGCATTCATGACTTTGGTCTTCCACTGAACTACGTTCCCAAACACATGGTGTCACTGGGAGGCAGCAGGTAAGTAAACGGAGAAGTCAGTTGAATATCCCTCTAGAAGTTCAAGATGCTGGGATCTTAAGCCCTCTGAACTGACCTTCTTGTGTTTGCAGCCCTGCACTAATGAACGTATTCCTCCTGGAGGTTCACCCGTCCCTCTGCCTGGCCTCTGCGGTCTATCAGGGTTTAGTTCAGGCCCACACAGAACTCTGTCAGCTGCACAGAGCCACCAGCGTCTCCGACAAGCTCCTCCTGCAGCAGAAGCTCCTGCATCAGGCCCTGCAGAGCTGGAACAACCTGGGTTCACCTGGAGCCTCCTACAGTTCTCAGATACAGAGGGATGTAGGTTTTTATTTCTCTGGATTCTTTGCAAATAAACATAAAGAAAGGGAACAGATTAACTCCAGTCTACTTTCCTGTCCAGTTGTTCTCAGGTGTGTTCTTCGAGGACCCAGGTCTGGTGCAGAACGTGGGGCTGTCATTGGTGAAGTCTGCAGAGGAGAAGCACGTGATGCAGGGAAGAGAGAAACAGTTGTATGCAGTGGAAACTTTCTCCAAGCTGCTGGAGCTCGTCACCGTCCGACATCGACTGCTGGAGTCGGCCTCAGAGACGGAACATCTGGCACAGTAAAAATCTCAGTCACATCAGGGTGGAGCTGGTTCACAAAGTGTTCTCTAACATCCATCCTCATTAACCAGAGGAGCCTTCAATAAATGTTTTTAGTATTCAACAAGGATGAAGTCATTTCAATATCCTTGTTCTTATGTCTCCTTCTTTTTTAATATTTATTTTTGTCCTGATCTTTCAGAAAACAACACATGAGTTTATCTGCTTTTTTTTCTTTTTAAATCTTCCATTTTCTCTTATTCTGTATATGTTATCCTCCACTTGGATGAACTTAACTAAATTCTGATTAGAAAAACTGTAAAATCCTATTTTTGTTCTTCAACAGCTTTAAGACTGAGGTCCAAGATTTAACCAGACTCTTCTCAGTGTCTAGTAAAAATCTGTTTTCTCTCTCATGTTTTTTCGGTCTGGTTACACTGTAGTTCATCTAATATGTTCAGTATCATGTCAGGTTGTAACGTCCAGTATTTCTGTCCAGGTTGTACAGAAACGTGGCCTCGGAGCTCGGCTTCAGTGAGTTCCACCTGCATCTGAGGCCGGTGCAGTTTGAGGTCGCTGAACAAAAAGACCAAACAGAGCAGAGGCCTTTGTTTATCACGGCGGTGCTGGAGGATGACTCGTCTGTGGACAGGTCAATAAAACCACCACATGTCTTACACCCACGTGTAAATCTATGMCTGCACATTACAGACACATCCAGGGAAGAGTTTCATTCATATACTGTATTAAAGAGTCTTTTAAGAAGCTGCACTTTTCAGCTTGTTCCTCACTGATATGAAACAGATGTCAGGGCAACAGGAAATGCTGTTTGTATGATTTTACCTCTCGATCCTGCTTCTGCTTGTGTGCTCTTGTATTTCTGCTTTTCCACATGAGCACTGAAGTATGTTTTTAAAGTGGAATACCGTCTGCTGCAGGTTCCTCCCCTCCCACCTGCCTCTGAGCATCCAGGAGCTGGACGAGGAGCAGGTCGGGAGGTTCAGCTTCAGCTCGGAGGAGGCGGTTAGTCGCGTACGTTCAGATGAAGCATCGGATCTTTAACATTAATATAAAAATATATAGAAATAAAACACTTCTTTAACCCATTGTCTCATGTTTTCACAGCTCATGAACACACAGAGCATCGAGAACCTCCAGGTGACTTTGGCCTGTCAGGTGACCCAGAAGAACGCCCTGATAAGTGCTGTGAAAGTGGCGTGTCTCTGCTATTGGGCAGAGAGTGTGACATCATCAGCTGAGGTGTGTATTTAACAGTGGTGGTACATTTACTCATGCAGTGTACTTAAACATGACGGAAAGTATTTCCTTTTGCTGCTACTGTATATTTATACTCCAATTCATTTGTTCATTTAACAAAGTTTGAGAAAGAGCTTCCTGTTTCAGTTTGAGTTTGTTTTCTCATTTGTTTTTTTTAGGGTGAAGAATTCCTTCATTCTGGTAAACTGCACAAGAAGTCAAACATGAAAACTCAAACCACCACCAGGGAGAGGTAACTTTCCTGAAAAAACAAATTACACTGGTGATGATTGACAGAGCTTTTGTTCTCTTTAATAAACAGTCTTGTTTGTCGCTGCAGGCTGGTGGAGGCCTTCGTGTCCATACAGCTGGAAAAAGTGAGTCTGCGTGACGAGATGCTGAACTCGTTTGTAAAGAAGAAACGAGCCGTGGGGGGTCTCATACGAACCCTGGTGAGTCAGTGGTGGATAGATTTCCAGGGATCTGAGCAGGATGATGTGATCGTTTGTCCGTGAAGTCAAACGAGTTTCTCTCACTCTGCAGGAGGAAGCAGCAAAGATCAAACGGAGCCTCATAATCAAGTTTCTCAAGAAGTAAGTCTGTGAAAAACAAATTCACTCTGTTACGAAACAAGACAAAAGCACATCTCATCTCTGTGCCTGTGTGAAAAGAAGATTCTTTGTCTGTCATTATTTCAACAGGTTCAGCACACGGATATCTCAGTATTGTGTCAGAGCGCAGATCGTTGAATATTACTACAGTTTAACTTCTCTATTGGACGATGTCCCCTCCGTCCGTCGGTCTCACTTCACGACGGAACAAACCAGCGTGCCCGAGGTTATTTTGGATTCAGGGGTTGACCTTTCTCCTGACCCCAGGTACAACCAGCTTCAATTTGATTGGTTATTAATCAGTAAAATATGAAAATAATCATGCACACGTGTGTTTTTAAGTCTTATTTAATCAACATGATAAGAGAGAAGAGTCACACATATCTGTAAAATATCAAGACAGTGCAGTCCTTGATGTAGGAGAACAAATACAATATGTATCATTAACAA